TCAGTGCAGGAGCCAGGGACTATTGCCCCCAGCCTGTGAGTACCCCTTGTACAACTTCTGCTAAGCAGTGGTTCCCACTCCTGCCACTTTGTGCCTGTGCTAGGTGCTCTGGTGTCTAGAGATGTGTCTAGGTGCTCTGGTGCAGGGATCTGAATTGTTTGGGAGCTGTGGCATAGGTCAGGTTCAGCATAACAACGTTAGGAAAAGATCTCTAGAAGCAGTGCTTTAGCAAGGGTGGCCTTGATGCTTTCTTGTGCCATCCCCCATTGCACCCCTGGAAGGGCACTAATGAGCTTGTCTCCTGCATGTGAACTCATGTCTCTTAACCTTTGGGCTCACTCATTTACTGACATTAGGGAAGTAGCACTGCTCCTTGCCTCCTTCCATAGCCTTGAATCAGAACACTGATCCAGCCCGCCCACACCATCCCAGGTAATATCTCAGGAGGAGTTTCAAGCTCTGAAGGGCTTTGGTCATAAAAGGCAAGGATAACAGCAGCAGATGTTTGTGTGTTTGCTTGTTTGTGGTTTCCTTGCTGCCTCGCGTATGCAGCCCCTGGTCTGTAATAACTGCTATAGCGGGTGTTTTTGTGGAAACAAATCACCTGCTTTCATCTGGAGAGCAACAGTGATTGTGCTAGGGGAGCATGATCTATTTTTCATGTCTCAGTCTTTCTTATTATTTAAATTAATGTGAGTTGCACTTGTCACGAAGTGAAGGATTGACGGCAATTAACTAGAACAGCCTCGGTGCAAACTGTTTCTGCACAAGCTAGTTCTACCCAGCTCTGTCACTGTATCTTTCTTGGGACTTAAAATCTGCCACACCAGCTCTGACCTTGTACCCCTCCTGCCCTGCTGCCCTCCCAGTCCAGGGCACCCTACAGTATCTCTGCCCTTGTCTCGCTCCTGCCTTGCATCTCTCCTTCTCTTCCAATGTGAGCTTCTCTCATGGAGAATGGCCACTGGTTACTTTGGGATTTGTTATTTTCTGTCAGTGACATGGAAAATGAGATGCTGGGCTGGCATCCCCTGGTGTGGGTGGGGCATCCTCCCTGTCTGGGGATGGAGGAGTGGGGTACTACAGTGTGCTTCCTTTCATGGCTCTGCTCCCCACCCCAACCAGGGGCATCCTAAGCCCATTGTAATGGATACTCAATATGATTTACACTGAAAGAGCAGAAAAATATGTCAATCCTATCTTTTTCATCAGTACCTAAGACCCTGGCAGTGCTTTCCCATGGTCCTTGAAGCCAGATGGGTCCAGCAGCAGCCTGGTTCCTCCTGAAGTAAAAAGCTGTTAGTCAAATTATGAAAATGCCTGTAAGTGCTGTTGAGCTGTAGTATTTGCCCTGCTGTGGGGCTGCAGCTTGTGGGTTTGCCCCTGCTAATGGTTTGGAGAGACCAGTCACAAAAGAATTTTCCACTTGAGGGTCAACAGGAGATGGCTGGGAAAATGGAGGCTGTGACACCCAGGAGATTCTGGTCCCGGGAGGTTTTATTCTCAGCAATCCTTCTTTCAGCAGTCTGGGACCTGTGAAAACATAATACAACCCACACAAGGGGAAAAATAATAAGGTCAAAGCTTCTCATTTTAAGGTTGTCCTAAAAAGGTGTGTGCAAAGTAATGACAAGTGCCAAGGAGGCAATGCTAACTGTTGCTGGTGCTGACAGTTCTGGCATTTTAACATGCTGGCTTGACGCCCTGAAAATTAAAAGTCTCTGACTTTTTATCTGAGTGAAATTATTGTCCACTGGCTTTGGATTCTAAACAGATGAAGCCAAGCCAGGTTTTAAATTTAGAGGGAAATTATTTCCTGCCCTATTCCTCCTTGTCTTAGCCTTTCCTTGCCTTCTGACTGAGGTGCCAGCTGAAAGGAACCAGCCATTATATTCCTAACAGGATTTCAGTCTTGGATGTCCTTTTCACCCTCGTCTGAAAAAGTGGCAAGACAGATATGACCATCTGGACACATGCTCTTCCTCTTGGGCATTCAGTAGGCATGGTCAAAACTGCTTGTACTGGCTGAGTTTACTTGATCCTCTGTAAAGTAAAATGTCTTGACGGCTTTGGAGAACGGCAGTTTATACATGTCCCAGCTGGAGCTCTGCTGCTGCCATGTCGTGGCTTTTGCTGCTCTTTCCTCAGCCATTTTGGCTGGCATTGCACCATTCTACTAGGACTTCACACTGGCCCACAGCTTCATCTGCTAGTCCTGCTTTAGTCCTTGGTTTGTTGCATGGCTTTTTTTCCTTACGCAAATGTTAACACCTTGAGGTTATGTTCATATTCCCAAAATGTGGTATAGCCACTGGTTTTAGTCCTGGGCTCTCCTTACCCAGTGAGCACCATGGATAAATTGTGCCCCAAAGTCACTGTCCTTGTGTCCCCTGACAGAACACCTGGGCCACAACTTTTGCAAAAATAGCAGCATCTGATGTTCTTTCCCAGACTAAGCCCCTTTGTCCTCTCCTGTGTATGTTGGTCTTCTATCAGGTCTGAGGTGGCCCTCCAAGTTGCTTTGTTCTCAGTAAGTAAGAGTAGTACTTTGGATTTTGGCACCAGAACTTTCAGGGCTCTGCCAGCCTGCAGATCTGCTAGCTGGAACACTGAGCAGGTCTGTCCTGAGCCATAGGACAGGATGTTCCCCTCATCCACTGGAAAAGAAAGGAAGGGAGTTTTCTGTATCTCCAGGGATAAGTTTCCATCCCATCTCTGAGGAGCCCTTTTTGAAAGTAAAAGCTTTTCCCTTATTTTCAGTCAGAATTCTCCCTACATTGCAGCTCATGTTAGCTGCTTTTCAGTGTTCACCGCGCACCTCTGAGAAAAGCCTGCCTCTGTCTTTTCTGCACATTCCCACTCACTATTTTTAGAGAGCAATAAGATCTCCCTCAGCCTTCTCTTCTTCAGACTGAACAGACCCATCTCTCTTAGGTTCTTCCCATCTTGGGAGCCTTCCAGTGGACTTGCTCCAGTGTGTCTATGGCCTTCTTGTTCTGGGGAGCCTGAAATTGATCTAGTACCTGAGATACTGTCTAATAGGCACCATGTAAAGGGTTTTAGATGCTTCCTTCCACTTGGGGGGTTATACTCTTGCTAATACAACAGAGGACGTTTGGTCTTTGCTGCAAGGGCATACTGCTAACTCATGCTGAACCTGAAGGACCCCCACGTGTCACTGCTTGAGCCTAGAACTTTTTCCCTTCCAGAAAATATCAATGTGGTTGGTCCCTAAAGAGGGACTGTTATTGTGAGGTTTATTCTACCTGTCTAACACAATATTGCATCTTCCTAATCAAGTAATTGGTAACAACCATCAAGGAACAAGAGTGATGCTGTGATATCTCTGATCCTTACATCTGAGCTAGTGCACCATCCACAGCTGGGTGCTGATACTTACATCTGAGCTAGTTCACCATCCAGAGCTGGGTACATGCCAGCCACTGCTTTGCAATTCTATTTCCTCTTTGCAATTCTATTTCCTCCTTTCCCACCTGTCTTTCTTAGAGAGCCTGTATCTGAGTTGCATGCCAGTCCTGAGCTGTCTCACCCCAGCTCCATCATCCCGATGGTTTTTCACACACATTCCCCTGTGAATCTGTGTGAACATCAGATTCCTGCTGGTTTTCCACCATGATGCTTGCACTGGTGCACAGGCATTTGAGGTGGGCCCCCAGCTGTCCTGCTTTCACAAGGCATGCAAAAGCCTTCCCCATTGTGTTGCCCCTGGCTGCTCCCTCACTGCCCTCTGCATTGTCACTTCTCCACAGGTCACAACAATCCTTCCCCAGTGCCCCTGGCTTCAATCCCTCCTTGCCTGGCTGAGTGAGCCTGTTGGAAAATAGATGTCTGCCTCACTTTACTCTACAGTACCCTTCCTTCATGGGGGTGCCATGGCCATAGATACTCAAACGTTGTCCTTGAGTTTGGGGCCAACAGAGAGGGGCTAATGAGCTGTGGGTTGTAAACAACATTCCTGTGAATCCAGCAACACAGCTGGAAGTAGTGAGTTGCTCTCTTCAGGCTTCATTTCCTTTTCCCCACCTAGCTTATAGGCAGTGTTGCCTCAAAAGCACCATCAGCCACTCCTGCCAGGCAGGGGGAAGGGGAAGCTGCTGTCTGTTTACTCCGTGGTAAGCAAACCAGAAAATTATGTTGTTTCATTCCTCGCTACGCACAAATTTGGAAGCTGAAAATATATTTAAAAAAAAAAACTAGAGGATTCCTTTTTAGTGAAAATCCCTCACCACCTGACATGGGGTGTGAAGCATGGAAGCAAGACATGGGTGTGAGAGAGGAAAGACTGCAGCAGCTGGCACAGTCCACACCTGGAAGTGCCTCTTCCGGTCCCAATTCATGGTCGCTCTGGTGCCATGACACAAACTCAGCTTGGAAAGTTTTTAAGAATCTTGAATGTCCATGTCATGGCTGATCTTGTGAATCTTAAAGATTCTACTGTGCCTTTGGTGCTCTGCCATGGGTGGTGCAGTCATCCAGAGACTGCCTACTGCAGGTAGTCCATGGGGGATCCCTCTTGGCTGAAAGGTGTTACAGAAACCAATAACTAATTCACCCTTTGAGTCAGTGCTTTGAAGCCTGGCATCCTGCAGGAGGATGCAGAACTCCATCTGGGACTCCCCAGAGTGTAAGAATTAGCTGGGATGATACTTGGAGCCTGCTGATCCCTTCCACACAGCCTTGAGGTAGGCAGGCAGGTCCTGAGAAGTCATTTTATGAAGACCTCCAAACTTGTGCAAACACAAAGCATTGCAGTTGCAGCAAAGGCTGTTTCTAGCTGTAGACCCTTGAAATACAAACTACACACCAGTACATACTACTCTGATGTAATTTCAGAAACCCAGCTAGTAGTGAGAGGGGTGCAGCCTGTGAGGTGAGTTTGTGGCTGCCTCTGGTTAATAGGTAGGTAATTGATTAAGCCAGGCAAGCTGCCCTCCATAATTCTGCTTATAACAAGGTCAAACTTTCTTTTGTCTTCACAGTTCCACCAAAGATCTCCAATATCTCCTCGGACATCACCGTGAATGAGGGCAGCAATGTGACCCTGGTTTGCATGGCAAATGGGCGTCCTGAGCCTGTCATCACCTGGAGGCATCTCACTCCCACAGGTAAGAAATCCAACTGGATTCAATTTGTGAACTGTACAGTAGTTCCCTTCTCTTCCAGCATCAAAGAAAATTTCAGTAGCAATATAGGCAGCTATAGAAAAGTGGCAAGAATCTTAAATGTACTTCAAGCTTGTTTTGAAGAATAAATTCCCAGGCACAATAACCAAGTTTTCCAAGTGAACAAATGAAATTACTTCAATAGATGCTCTGCAGAATTGGACCTGTAATTCTATTTAGCTTAGGTCTTCATCTAGTTGTCCCAATCTCTACTGCTGGTAATGCGCAGCACAGTGGTGGAGATGAAATGCTGCTGGTGCTAGACTGAGGGAAAAGGATTTCTGTTGAGACACTGCATAAAAGAGGTTCTTTCTGAAAACCATGGTATTTGCTTCCTACTGATTTGCCTTAAAAGGGAGAGGCAAACAGTGGCCCAGTTTATTTCATACTGCTCTCCACTTTGGCAGACAGCCAAAAGTCCTGTGTCTTCTGAGGTGACTAAAGAAGGCAATTGATCTTCAAGGTCAGTGAAGAGCAGGATGGTAACAGAATAATGGAGAACTCACCATCTTTGTTCTGCTGTCTGACTGTGCCCTCCATGCTCAAGGATGTGGCAAGGTTGGGAGGAGAATGTCTTTTTAGTAGCCAGACTCTGTGGGGTTAGCAGCTTGGGTTGCAAGGAAACCTTCAACCCCTAAAGATTTAACAGTAGGATGAATACAAGAGGTAGGTTTCTATCCTTCTGTATCATGTCCTTGGAGGAGAGAAAAACTTTTATCTGATTTCTTTTCCTATCAGATATTCTTTTATCTAAAATGCATGGGAAAATCATTGATTAGCCCCATATGAACAATCTTCTGTGGTACTCTCATATATATAAAGGGTTAAAGAGGATTTGAGGAAGGCAAAGAACAAACATTCTGCATGTGCTACAGATAGTCCAGCTTTCTATTGCAGTTCAACAGCCAGAAAAGGGGAGAAAAGTGAGCCAGAAAGTGTTGCAGAAAGAAAGTTGGAGAGAGAAAGGTAGAATGACACATTGGAACAGAGCTTAATCTAAGGGCTACATCCAGAACCCCCTGGATTTGGAGCCTGTGGTTGAGATTGGGGTTACTTAAATTTCCTGCCTTGTGTCTTCAGCCAAACCAAAGTTCTCCTGAGCTTTCATGTATATGAAAGCTAGATATGCAGTCTGTATTTCTGGCCCATTTCTTGCAGTACCAAGAGAAAAAAGATGGGGAAAGCCTGCCAAGAAGAGGTGAGAGCAGGGCTGATTAGGGGAACACTAGTCATCTGTGGTATTATCATCACATCCTGACTTTCCTCTTCTGGTTTGTTTGTTGTTTTTTTTTTTCAAAATTAAGTATGACTGTGCCATTTACATTCATAGGAGAAGAGAACTTATTTTTTTTTCATCTTTAATTATGTATATAGAATCTTCTGGCTCTGGTATTTCTGTTCTTAAGGTTTACTTCATATCAAATCTTCCATATTACTGCTGCATCAGTCTTTTCAGTTCTCTTTTTTGTATCCAACTAAAAGATACTCCCTAGTTACTCTGTGAGCACAGCCTAACCCTGAGTTAAGGGCGTTAAATCTTCATGAAATCTAAGATCTGGTACACATGAGATGCTTTCTTCAGAGCAGTGAGAAGATTCTTGTCCTGACTCATCATTTTGGCTGTTGCTGCTTTGTGGGAGTTGTTTTTTTTTTTTTTTTTTTTTATTTGTACCACCTATTTCACTGTATCAGACACAGAATTTTTTTTCTCCTTTTTTACAAAAGTCTCCACAGAACAAATCCTCACTCTGGCTATCCCCTCTAGTTAGCAACAGAATTGAAGAATCCCATCCCTACTCTGACCGTGGGGACAGTTTTCTTGGCTCTGTTGTTCAGTTTTCCAGCAGGTTCCTTCACATTTTTTCTCCCATGCTGGGTGTCTCAGAGGTGTTGCCTTGTTAGCATCCCTCAGCACCATCTCACTGACTCCTTTCCAATCCCTCCTCAGTCCTCCTCCCTACAGTGAAGCCTGCCAAGCACCTCCTGTGTAACAAACTAGAGGTTATGATGAAGGGCAGGCAGTCCTCAGTCTGTCACCTCCATGTGTTACTGATTGTGGTTCTTTCTTTTTCCCCATCTGAACCCATCTGCTGTCTTTTACAGATACAGAGGAACTGCTTTCAGGCAGACATCAGATCTTTGAGCAGGATAAAGCCCAGTAAAACACTTGTCTCAAAATGGAAGACAGAAGGGCTTCTTTTAAATGTTTTCCTTGAGGTTGACAATTAATATAAATTCCAAATCCCTTCCAGAGCTGCTGCTGTTGAAAACGTGTCTTATCTTGGAATCTCCCTTTTCCAGAACTGCAAGGCATTTTGGCTCCATTTATGCGAGTTTTGAAGCCATCTGCTATGCATCAAAGAGCTATTTTAGATCATTGTAAAGGTTTCTAAAATATATCCCTCTCCTTCAATGTTTTTCATAGTTAAACTTGAGACTGAAGAACTGGAATAAAGAGTTATTGAGCTTGTGTGGGAGATTTTGAATGGCCAGGTAGTGGAATTAAACCCGTATCAGGGGGTGAGAGGGCCAAATTACATTTTTCTTTGTGCACTCTCCTCCAGGAGTTCATTAGCAACTTTGTCTGCTGTTTCTTTCATTCATTGACTTCATTAATAGAGTTTTTTGGCTAATTACTTGAGTTAGGACCACAGAAATGATTGAATTCTTGTTGGCTGGGAAGTGGAAGATACAAATGCAAAGGGAAGGCAATGTTGGTACTTAGGCAGAGAAGGTAGGGATGCATGTGATAGGCAGATAACTAAGCTATGATTGCAGCATTTAAATGAACTATCTGGGAAGCTAAAAAATTGATTTATAAATTGCTGTGTTGCTTCCTGTTCTGGTTGTTCAGTGAGCAGTTGAACCAGACATTTTTCTCACTTCAACTATAAGTCTTGATCCCCTCAAGCAGCCCACAGGAAAAAACCTCTCCTAACCCTGTGAGAAAGCTAAAGTGTGACTGAGGTAGATGACTGTAGCACTGGCACCTGGGAGGAAGGCAGGTAAGGGGAAAAATACTTTAATAATTCAATGGCAAAAAGACAATACAGATCAGCTTTAATTTGATGAAACTGGAATGACATTCCTTGGAATGATGCAAGTCCTTGCTCTCCTCTTACATTCCTCTTCAGATGATTGGCAGATTGTATTTTGACAGAGCAGGTGGAGAGAGTCACTGAGACCCTTTTCTTTTTCACCTGAGAGGCCAACATTGGCAACCTGGTCTGAGTAGTTGTGGATTTAACAAGCATTGTCTGGGAGCACAAACAGCTTCATTAGCTCTTCTCCTCCGGCCAGCAGAGCTCTTTTCTAGGATCACTGACCTGCACCTTCCAGCAGCAGGCCAGCAGGTCCCTCCCTGCACATAGTCTGATCCCTTTTCTGTGATTCAGGACACAGCTGCAGGCTTGTTAAGTCTGCCATACCTGATGACTTTTGCCACCCTGGTTTGTGATGGTAAGCCATGGCAAAGACCGTAAAACTGAAGATCTGAACTGGATTTGTCAGAAAACTGTGATGTGTTCATTTAGAGTGGGGGTGAGTATTGATGGTGTCCTATGCAGTCTGCATGAATTAGCAGTTGCCAGCATTAGGAATACTTCACTAGGGAACACTCCATAGTCTCATCTCTTGAAAGGGACAAAACCCAGTTTCTTTGTACCAAGAGTGGGTGGTACCCTATTGTTTTATTCTCCTTAATATTAGCTCATTAACCTGCCTAATCCATGCCCCACAAAGGTATAGATTATTTTTTTTCACTGAATGCAATAACCTCAAATATCCCATAGCCGCACCACATCCTGGACAAAGTCCTGACCAAGGACCATTTATCACGTATCACACTTACATGATCTGTGAGGGATACCACAGGCAGCCTACCCATCTGTGGGTGCTCTGTTTTCCCTGTACCTTGCACCAGGATAACAACTAACATAGCCAAAAAAAGACTCCAGTGAAATAGTTCAGAGATGGTAGCCAGTGCCTGCTTTCAAGCCCATCTTAGTTTTTCTTCGTGTCTCTACTGACTTATGTTTATTCAGGCTAATGTGTCTTCTCCCTGCCTGCAAGCTGCTGAGATCACAGTCCAGAGTATAATTTATCATTTCTCATCTCTATGTCTTATTCAGAGTCAAGCTAGGTGCCTGGTTGACTGAAAAAGAGCTTTCTGGGAAGAAGAAAAATTAATGTACATTCGTATCCTTACCAATGAACTCTCAAGGGAAGCCCTAAAGAGTAGCCTCTTGTGAATCGGGTTTGCAGCAATACAAACATGGGCAGTTGTTGCAAGGTCTCTGGATTACCAGAGATCTCACTGCTAATCCTTTTGCTGTGCATGGGCAGGCAAATGCAGAAGAAAAAGCCATCTCCTGTCCTGAGAAGCTTGTACTTGAGAGCTCACAAGAGCAGTACCATTTGTGTTTCTGCTTCTTTGCCACAAAGCAGAGTGATTGAAACCTTCCCAAGGGCCTTGCTTGTGGGTGCTCTGGTGAGTGCCTTTAGCACCCATGCTGATGGCAGCCTGAGAGCTGGTGACAGGGAGACAAAGCTATATTGACTAAAGTTGAATTGAGTTACCAGCTGAGGAACAAGCTTCCCTTTTCCTAGAGAAGCTACAGAATATGAAACCTGTATAAAACACTGGTATCCCATTATGGATCCAACTTCTTGGCCTCAGCCCACCAAGGCCACTTGATGGAGAAGAAAACACTCTGGATTCTTCCAAATTCCACCTGACAGTCTAAAGAAACCCACTTTGGCTCAGAAAAAGAGCTTAGTTATTACAGTGGTAATCACAGCATAAGAAGGACCAGTCTAGTGCAAAGCAGATAAGTATTGATTGCAACACCCAAGTTTCATGTCACAGCATAAAATGAAAGGAGATGAGAAGGCTTGTCAAATATGCCAGTCTGATTCTCCCTAGAGGGTGCTAGAAATTCACA